CGACATAACCCGATGATTTTTCCAACATAGGGTCCCACTCCCTAGTTGATGCCGGCATAACCCGATGACTTTTCCAACATGGGGTCCCTCTCCCTAGTTGATGCTGCCATAACCCGATGATTTTCCAACATAGGGTCTCCACTCCCTAGTTGATGTCAGCATAACCTGATGCTAACATAGGGTCGCCACTCCTTAATTGATGCCAACATAGGGTCTCCACTCCCTAGTTGATGCCAACACAACCTGATAGCCTGATGCCAACATAGGGTCACCACTCTCTAATTGATGATTTTTCAATAATAAGGTCTCCAATCCCTAGTTGATCTCATTCTAAACATAGAGTCACCACTCCCTAATCTCTTTTTCCCAAGGATACACAATCCTGACTTTTATTGCTTTCAATAATGAAGTAGTATAGAGTTTTGGTTACAAATAACTCACGGAATTTTTCTAGTGAAAACTGGGGCAGAACAATTCCGTTCGTTTATTTGTTTTGGTGTTTGAGCAGGTTATACCTTGATACACAAGGTTTGAGACAATCAAAAGAAGAAGTCTCAATCCAGAATAAAAGAAAAAGAAGAAAAGAAAAAGAAGTGAACTCAAAGTGCAGAAGCGAAGAAAAAATGTGGACTGCTCAAGACATGATTGAAGTCACAAGTTTTACATATCCCGCCTTGATCCGAAAAGCTGAAGAAGAATCAACTAGCACCTGCAGCTAGCAAGCATCAAGATTCAGATCAGAGTCCGTATGAAGAACCAACAAAGACTAAAGATCAAGCTTCAAAAGACTCATAGATAGAAATCTTGTAACTCATTGATAATAGACTTAGTTAGTATTTTTCATTTTTGATTTTGCTGTAATAAGGAGCTTAGCAAGCAGCAACAGAATCAACAACACTAAAATCATAGTTTTTCGGTAGTCCCATCTACCAAAGTTTCCAGAACTACACCGACCTGATTCCTTCAGAGCCAAGGATATGTAGGCAACCTCCGAAGCAAGGTTCGGTCAAACTTTTTCAAAAATTCTTCCAAATGGAGTATCAAAAGGGCAAAAATTGCTCGTAATTGCTCACTTTATCTTTGTCCGAAAACTTTTCATGTTCTCGAGCAAAGAGGGGCAGCTGTGAGCACCTAATTTTTGCCCTGCATGAAAATAACTCCTAAAAATAGATTAAAAATAATTTTAATGGATTTTAAGAATTTTTCTTTATTTAGTTGCATTTCATGCATGTTTATTATTTTAAAATCATAAGAAAAATCATAAAAATTATCACATTTTAATTTCATACCATATTAGGTTTAATTTGCATTTTTAGGAATTAATTACTCTTTAATTGTTAGATTAATATATGAAAATCACAAAAATATACATTAGCTTTAATCAATTAGTTTATTTAATTAGTTAAAAGGCTAATTAAGTCGTTTTGGTAAAATAAATTTAATTGGTCGTAAGGTGGCTATTTTGAAAGATTAAATTTGCCTCTTGTTCCAAATTGGCCCAATTTTAGGGCCCAAAATTCTAGGCCCAACCGGTTTTCCCCACATTAAAATAACCCTATCCCTTCTCTCTTCTATAACCTAGCTAAGACTTTTTCCAAAAAACAAAATGAGATCCTCCTCCCTCAAACTAACCCTAGCCGGTGCACCCCTCTCTGCTCTCTTCTTCTTTCTTATCTTCTAACCCCATACTCATACGCTGGGCTACACACCTAAATGCATCTGAAAACAAATTTGAAATTTCAAAAAATCCCTTATTAGATCTGCAATTTTCAGTTTCAAAATTGAGAGGAAAAACACAAAAAATGAGTAAAGTTTCAGCTGACCTTTTTTTTTACTCAAAATAATTAGTCGTAGTGGTTGATTCAAGAGGTCTTCAATACTATTTTTCTGGTTTTTCGAAAGCTGGATTTCAAAGAAGATTAAAAAGGGTATTGATTACTAAAGTTTGCACAAGCCGTCAAAGCTCAAATTCATGGCTGTTGTTGTTGATTTGGTTGTTTCAAAAGGCTGCTAAACTCTAGTTTTTTTTCACGGCATTTAGGTATGTTCATGTTCATTTGTACATTTCTATACAACCTTATATTTGATCTTTCACACTACGTGTGCGTTTAATCATCTGAAATTCAGCATATTAGATCAATAAAGCTGCCTCCATCCCTTGTTCATTCTGTGATGTTATCTATGTGCAATTAAAAATCCCAATGTTAATCACTTGCATAAACAGCCAATCTCCGAAATATTTGTTTGCTTTATTTTACAATAAAATAATAATAATAATAATAATAATAATAATGACTTGATTTACAGTAATTAGTTTCATTTCTTCATGAAATATCTGTTTAAATTGTGCATCAATTTGATTTACACTAGGTTTGCCAAAAATCGTTTTAGTTGGTATCCTGTTGTCTGAATCTCCTATTTTAATTCTTATTTCATGAGCATGAGATATAAGTCTAAAAATCTTTTAGTTCTTGTTTGATAGCTAAAAAATAAGAAGCAGTGAGCCATTATTTTTCCATGGAACCTTTGTTCATTAGTTATGCCAATTTGGCCATTTGGTTTGTCTTGTAAAAATCAGAAACTAAATTGGATGTGCAATAATTTAGTTTGTGAGTTTAGGCCAAATTAGATACATATCTGCCAAAAGCCAAAAAAAGAAGAAGAGAAACAACAACGTTCCTATTCATTCGTGTGCCGACCCAATTTTTCTCAAACACACGAAGCTAGTTTACTCTTCTAGAATTAATTCACTTTATTTCCTCCATAATAATTCCATAACTTGCAAACCTTTACAATTAATATCAAATGTAGGAAACCAACTTATGAATATTGTAGTTTGCTTTAGGGGCGATTACTAAATAATAAATTATCGTGACTATGAGTATGGTTTCCGTGCTATGGTTGCGATACGTAAATCCAAATTCGGGTGTACATTTCATGTGACCCGACCACAACTTCGAACAATAATAAAATTCACATGTTGTAGATCGTGTGTATGATAACCGTGGTACGATTCACAACGTGTACAAAAACAAACAAGTGTAAGACTATCGTGACTCATTCCAGAAATAATTTCATAAATAAATAAAAGTGGTTATAAAATTAAAAGTGCACAATAGGTTTAAAACATGTAATAAATCAGATAATTAGTCCAATTATTAATAGTTGAGCGATCGTGCTAAAATCACAGAACTCAGGAGTGCCTCACACCTTCTCTCGGATTAACAGAATTACTTACCCGGTCTTCTGTGTTCGTAGACCATAGTTAAGAGTCAAATTTTCTCGATTTGGGATTTACAATAAATCGGTGACTTGGGACACCATAAATTATTCCAAGTGGCGACTCTGAAATAAATAAGTAATTCCAACTCGATTAATGTCACTTAAATTGGAAAAACTCTCTATCCCTATCCCCATCGGGTAAAAAGGAGGTGTGAAGTAACGACTGGTTTTAATGATAAGGCTTTAAGGAGAATATTCAGTGAATATTCCTCTAATCGGTACTATTAGAATATTTGTGGCCAATGTGCCCCTATAAATAAAAAGATAGGTAGCTACAAAGGGGAAGGAGACACTCATCGTAAAGAACAACATATTGGCATTCCCTAGATTCTTTCATTATTACATACATACAAAATACACCTTTTCCTCAAATCTTTGTCTAACTTTTCCCCCATGATCTAAGGAGATCCCGAATATTCAAAGGTTCATCAATCATTCATCATTGTTAGGTGTAACGACCCGACTGGTCGTTTTGAGAATTTGCACATCACTCGGTAGTTTACGAGCGTGAGTAGCTCCGTATAATGTATTTAACTTATGTGAATTATCGATTTTGGTTTTCAGGTTATTCGGGATTGATTTGGAAGAATGATTCTCAACTAGGGAGCTTTAAATTTAAAAGAGTTGACCGAATTTGACTTTTTAGTATTTGACCTCGGACTGGAATTTTGATGGTTTTGTTAGCGCCGTTGGGTGATTTTGGACTTAGGGTCACGTCTAGATTGTGATTTGGAGGTCCGTAGTTGAATTTGGCTCGAAATGGCGAAAGTTGGATTTTTTAGAAACTTTGACCGAGAGTGGACTTTTTGATATCGGGGTCGGATTTCAATTCTGAAAGTTGGAGAAGGCCTGTAATGTCAAATGTGACTTGTGTGCAAAATTTGAGGGCAATCAAATGTGATTTGATAGGTTTCGACGTCAGTTGTGGAAGTTTGAAGTTTCAAGTTCATTGATATTTGGATTAAGGTGTGATTCATCATTTCGATGTCGTTATGTGTGTTTTGAGGCCTCGAGTAAGTCCATGTTATGTTATGGAACTTTTTGATATGTTTGGATGTGGTCCCGAGGGGTTTGAGTGAGTTTCGGATAGGTTTGGGTTGTGTTGCGCTCGTTTTTTTATGTTTCGACGTTGTTTCTTTAAGCATAAATGGTATTACATTAAGCAAATGAGCTTCAATTTATATTTTTATTGAAGTATTAGATCTTTATCGTAATTAAGGAGCCACAGAAAAAAGAATCGTCGAATTTGGACATTGTATGGGGAGTTTATGGTTATTTTACTAAGAATAGGGTTGCCAGATTTTTCAGATTAATTACGAAATTGCCACTGATTTCGTTTTTAAAATTCTGCACTATTTCCAAATATTGAAACCAACATATCTCCTTCAATATATGGTCAAATGGAGTGACTCAAAAGCTTAACTAGACTAGAATTTCACAAGGAATCCATTGGAGGCATCAAGAAACGAGGCAAAACATTATTAAAACAAGGGTTTTGTTCATTTAATATATTTTGAGTTGGGGAGCTCGGAATTGGGAAATTTTTGAGGTGATTTTCACCATATGATTTGGGATAAGTGTTCTCTACTCAGTTTTGGTTATACTCCATGAATCTATCTTCGATTTTAGCTTTTGGTTGATGAATTTTAAAGAGGAAATTGGAGGTTTTGGCCTAAAGTTTCATAATATGTATTTTTGAGTTTTGAACATCGATTTGGAGTTGGAATTGAGTGAAACTAGTATGGTTGGACTCAAAATTGAATGGGTTATCAGATATTATGAGTTTTGTCGGGTTCCGAGGCGCGGGCCTGGGTGCGATTTTTTGCCGAATTTGGGATGTGATTTAAGATTCGATCTCTATCATTTGGAATTGTTTCCTTGGGCTTTATTTGAAGTATTTGAGTTTCTTTTGGCTAGTTTTTAGCCGTTCGAAGGTCAGTATGCGCGTGATGGCATTTTTGGAGCATCGCTTGGCTTGCTCAGTATTGTAATCTGCTTATTCAAGGTAAGTGTTTTGCCTAACTTTGTTGAGGAAATTTTTCCTTCTATTTGTCATTGTTTGCTACATGCAGGGGTGATATATATATGAGGTGACGAGCGTATATGTATGTGACGGGGTTATTCATGCTCGGGGGTATATTGTGCTATAACTGTGTCTTGTAGGATTACGTAAATTCTTGCTACATGCTTCACTTGATTTACCGATGTTAAGAACGTAGTATAAAATGTTAGTAATCAAGATTTAGCCCAATATAACTTGATCGAATTTGGTAGAATTCTGAGAATATATTGATGTGTATAATTCGGTCATCTCTATGCGAAATCATTATTACATTACTACGGCCCATGTTCACGATATACTAGACTCTTTGCTTGTGTTATGGATCATTGTGAGAATTGTGGAAGTATTTGAATAATACGGTTCTCGAGGTTTGTTAAATCATTGTTGATTTGGAAAGATGTGATTGGGATTTCTTTGAAATATCTGTTAACACTTTCCTGGATGTTATTTGTGCTTCCTGCCTTAGCACAAAGGGTGATGACGTGCCGTATTATTGAGAGTAAAAGCACGAAGGGTGATGTCGTGCCACATTATTGAGAGTAAAAGCACGAAGGGTAATGTTATGCCATATCATTTGAGAGTTAAAGCACGCAGGGTGATGATGTTCCATTTCATTTATATTGTTATTTTTGTATGTTATCGGAGGTCATGGCACGATGGGTGTTTCTGTGTAGGCGAGGATGAGGAACATGCATTATTTTGATATCAGTCTTCCGTGTATATGTTCTTGTCTTTACCTTGAACTCTTATTGTCATAATTATGGATCTGATGTGATTTACTGCCATTGTTCTATCATGATCTCCATCTCAATTGTTGTTGTGTTTCTCATACTTTCTACTTGCTTAACTTGCAAATACAATGCCTATTTCCTGCTTTTATAATTACACTCATGTTGTATCTATTCTATTGCACCTTAGCATAAGCCTTCCACCATGCTAGTTATTCATGCCCTTACTTGTTAACTTATAAAGATCTTGTGTTTCCTTCTTATTTGCTATATTTGTACTTAGGCCTCCACTATGCTAGTTAATTGAAGTTGATACTCTTTGTTTTCCTATTGGTTGTTATTGCTTATGTACTTTCTGCCTAGTCTTTTACTGTTGCCCACATGTATATCCTTGTCCATTGTTGTTACTTGCGTATTTCCTACTTTGTAATTCTTGTTATGGTGTTTCTATCATCTGGTTGGTTTTTCTATACATACGTTTGGGAAGGATGAGTTGAACACACGAAGGGTGTTGTCGTGCTAATTGATTTGTCAGATAAATTTATTTATATAGTGAGGATGAGATAAAAGCACGAAGGGTGTTACCGTGCCATTTGACTTGATATCTTGGAAATACTTCTCATACCAGGAAGGATTGTAAATATTCCACTGTGAATCCTGCTAGTAATTGTTGACTGTCTCATGGAGTTATATACGGTACTTTTATCTATTATGTTGAAACTACATATACTATTAGTCTAATGTACAAGTTATAGTAATAAGCATCGTTCAACTAAAAGCTTCGTCACTACCTCGACGAGGTTAGACAAAATACTTGCAAGTATATGAGGTCGATTGTACTATTACTGCAATTTTGCACGTTCCGTACAGATTTTGGGGTAGAGCTGCTGGTGACGTCAAGTGTTGATTCGGAAGATGTTCGTGCGTTTGGTTATAACTGCCACTTATCCTTGGTAGTTTAGATTATTGCTAATCTGTTTATGTAACCTTCAAACAGAATGTGTATTTATTTGTATTAGTTTTGAAATTCCAAATCTTAGAAGCTCGTGATTTGTACTACCAGGTCTTTGTAAATTCGTAAACGCTCAATTATCTATTTCCTTTTATTTTATAACCTCAGTTGGGTTGTGTTTTTTTGTTAGTTGGCTTACCTAGTAGGTTGAGTTAGGTGCCATCACGACTTGTGATTTTTGGGTCGTGATAAGGTGGTATCAGAGCACTAGGTTCGTAGGTTCTATGAGTCATGAGCAAGTGTCTAGGAGAGTCCTGCGGATCGGTATGATGACGTCCATACCTTTCTTCGGGAGGTTACAGGGCATTTGGGAAAAAATTTCCCTTTCTTCTTTCCTCATCGTGTGGCCTTGTTTCAACTTGAAACCTACAACTTTGACTCTTCTGGATCGCTCTTATGTGATGTTGTGCACTCAATATTTGCTATGTGCTGATGGTCGGTGATGTTGTAGATGGATTACGATGGGTTATTGACGCTTGATTATCATCGCGATGTGTTGTCTAGCCTCAGAAGCAGATGTAGTTGTCTAGCCTCAGAAGCAGATGTAGTGTTAAAATCTTCTAGTCATTCATTTGTGGTACAAGGCAGGTGCATATGTCTGGTTGGTAAGAACAGATTTGGGAAGATTAGCGGGTGAACAGGCTATTGTGATTAAGGTGGTTTCATGGCAAGGTGTCGATTTGAGTAAAAACCGGTGGATTTTCTCCTACATGATAAGTTTGGATCGTGTATCTCGTATGAGGTTTTCATTAGATAGAGTTCATATGTCATCATTCCAGAGCATTTGGGGGAGTTGTTTGACTATTACAATGATTGGTGAGTGTTTGGCAGAGTCTTCGGGGTGTTCTATGACCGGCATTTCATGAGTTTTGAAGTAGCCAGCTAAATAGTCATGCAATATTGGGGCATGTTGTAAAGGTATGTTACTTTGGGTTGCCGATGAGGTTTTTTATGGCTTCGAGCTAAGTGGTGGAGTCTACTAATGATGATCGGATTGTAGGATTATGGGCTGTATCAGTTTCCAAACTGAGAGATTTCTATGTTATTTCTTTGAATGGGCATAAGCTGGTGAAGCACGGGTGGGCTTGAAATGGTAGCAAATGGTAATCAGATCTGCGGTATTCCTTTTCAAGAAAGGTCTACAAGTCAATGTTGGGGTCGTGCAAGACATGACTTTGGGTTACCAGGAATTTCCCTCAGGGTGATCATATCGCATTGAGTCACTTTCGGGTTGGCGGTCTGCGTGACTCGATTGAGTTGGAGGCAACTAGTTTTGATTGCTCGATTATGTGTTACTGAGTTCCGAAGAATTTATCATGGTTATGACCACGGTCGGAGTTGATGTTTTCTACAAGTATAGAAGCTATATTGCGTGTGGTGGTGTTCTCCTGGATTGAGATAAATGAAAGATTCTCGGTTAATGAAGTGTTCAATTTGCGTAAGGTTCAGAGTTGACTATGAGATTTTCGTAAGTGCTGCGAGTTAGCATGTTAGAGACGATGCACCGTGTGGGGTTAGAAAGTTGTGTGTGCAAGGTAGCAGATAGTTTCGGAAGGGAAGGATATGAGTTCTTGATGTCACGAACGATTTTGGGTGTTCAAGGTTTAGCTGGCACTTTGTGTTCCCATCGAAGTAGAGTTCGCCTGTTGGCAGGTACATTGTATTTCGACTTATGGGTGTTTCTCAAGGAGATGATGGAGTATGAATTACGTGTCAGCTATTTGAATAGCGGTGTTGAGATTGTGTATGAAAATTCTGGTATTCATAAGGCTCAGAGACTGACTGTTCTTGTTGGTAGACTATTCCTTGATTGCGAGTTGAGAAGAAATATAGAGGATTGGATGATTGATGGTAGGTGTTATGGAAAGGTTGTTATAGGCTTTTGGAAGGTTCATTACATGTTTGAGGAAGATCGGAATTTTGTTTGGGGATTATTTTGATCCTAATGAGAATGTGTATTCTGTATCAGAACGGACCTATTTGTTCTTGCGCAGTTGTTACCATATGTATATCATCGGGTGGAATGGATGTCATTCGCGCCTTGGTTTATATTATATGTTTCTCTCTTATACTATGGTGGGTTGTGAGGGTTACATGATTCTTCGTATGCATATTGTGATTCAGTTTAGGCCTCATGGCATTATGGGCGAGATAGCCTTTGTGATGTTGATTTGCTTATTGTACCATAGTTGTGCTTGTCTTTCTCAGTATTGTTTGTTCCTAATGATTTTTCCCACAGTTATATTTTGTGCTCTCTATTGTGCTTGATGTTGATACACATGTGATCAGTGAGCCCGGGTATTATGGCTCAAAAGGTACCCTATATGGATTGATGTGATGGGATCAGGTTGCACGCCGCAACGGTACAGTGATGAAATGTGACTCATTATTCCTATTTTGTGTATTTTCTTTCAACTTATTGAAAATAGTTCATAGTAAAATGCTAAAATTTCCCTGCCTGCTTAACTTGCTAAGTAGTCTTCTTATTTAGTTTTCTTACTGTTATCGGTCATGTCTGAATTATTACTTGTTGGTGTATGGAATCGGGTTATGTGTGTCTCCATATGATTATTGTTGATGCTTGTCAGTATGGCTGCTTGTGTTGGCTGAGATGAGGTTCCTGAGATTTGCACAATTGTATTGGGATGAGGAAGGTTTGGAAGAATAACACTTATAGTTTATTGAGGATTTGGACAATGGCCCTGGTCGGGCGAGTGAGTTTCTTGGCTTATTGATCAGATGAGTGGTTAAGCGGGTATGCGTGTTTCTTTCATAATCAGTAGGGTATGAAGGTTATGCATGTTTCTTTCATAATCAGTAGGGTATGAAGGTTTTGAACGAGGTTCTAATCGATATGAGGTTCGCTACCGACACCGGATTTGTTTTGGATTTGGTTTGGGCAGTAATGGTGGTCAGCAGTTCCTACTGCGAGTGCTGAAGTGATGGGGTATATCATGTTCTTACATCTTGTGTTATGGTTGTGACTTGATACGGATTGTTCAGACTTATACAATGTGCATATGAGGGATTCAAGTATCGTAATGAATTCTGGATGATAGAGATTGGGTTCTAAGGTTTAAGGACAAGGGTTGAAGTAAGGATCTCTAGTTATGTTGTGTTGGCAGGCTTATATGGAGCAGGGTGACGTGGAATCACCCCGGGTTTATGCTTAGTAAGGTTACACCATGATTTGATAGCTTTGGAACGACTCCTGGCACGTTCGAGGACGAACATATGTTTAAGTGGTGAAGGATGTAACGACCCGACTGGTCGTTTTGAGAATTTACACATCATTCGGTAGTTTACGAGCATGAGTAGCTCCGTATAATGTATTTGACTTACGTGAATCGTCGGTTTTGGTTTTCAGGTTATTCGGGATTAATTTGGAAGAATGATTCTCAACTAGGGAGCTTTAAATTTGAAAGAGTTGACCGAGTTTGACTTTTTTGTATTTGACGTCGGATTGAAATTTTGATAGTTTTGTTAGCTCCGTTGGGTGATTTTGGAATTAGGAGCGCGTCCGGATTGTGATTTGGAGTTCCGTAGTTGAATTTGGCTCGAAATGGCGAAAGTTGGACTTTTTGGAAAGTTTGACCGAGAGTGCACTTTTTGATATCGTGGTCAAATTTCAATTTCGAAAGTTGGAGAAGGCCCGTAAATGTCAAATGTGAGTTGTGTCCAAAATTTTGAGGGCAATCGAACGTGATTTGATTGGTGTCGGCATCAGTTGTGTAAGTTTGAAGTTTCAAGTTCATTGATTTTTGGATTGAGGTGTGATTCGTCGTTTCAATGTTGTTATGTGTGTTTTGAGGCCTCGAGTAAGTCCATGTTATATTATTGGACTTGTGGTATGTTTGGACGTGGTCCCGTGGGGCTCGGGTGAGTTTCGGATAGGTTTGGGTTGTGTTGCATTCGTTCTTTTATGTTTCGACGTTGTTTGTTTAAGCATAAATGGTACTATATTAAGCAAATGGGCTCCAATTTCTATTTTTATTGAAGCATTAGATCCGTATCATAATTAAGGTGTCATAAAAAAAGAATCATTGAATTTGGACATCGTATGAAGAGTTTATGGTTATTTTACTAAGAATTGGGTTGCCAGATTTTTCAGATTATTACGAAATTACCACTGATTTCGTTTTTAAAAATCTGCACTATTTTTAAATAATGAAACCAACATATCTCCTTTAATATAAGGTCAAATGGAGAGATTCAAGAGCCTAACTTGCGTAGAATGTCACAAGGAATCCATTGGAGGCATCAAAAACCAGTGTCGAGATCATTTGGCATAAGAAACGAGGCAAAACAATATTAAAACAAGGGTTTTGTTCATTTAATATATTTTAAGTTGGGGAGCTCGGAATTGGAAAATTTTTGAGGTTATTTTCACCATATGATTTGGGATAAGTGTTCTCTACTCAGTTTTGGTTATACTCTATGAATCTATCTTCGATTTTAGCTTTTGGTTGATAAATTTTAAAGAGGAACTTGGGGGTTTTGGCCTAAAGTTTCATAATATGAATTTTTGAGCTTTGAACATTGATTTGGAGTCGGAATTGAGTGAAACTAGTATGGTTGAACTCATAATTGAATGGGTTATCAGATTTTATGAGTTTTGTCGGGTTCCAATATGTGGACCTGGGTGTAATCTTTGACCGGATTTGGGATTTGATTTAAGATTCGATCTTTATAATTTGTAATTGTTTCCTTGGGCTTTATTTGATGTATTTGAGTTGCTTTTGGCTAGTTTTTAGCCGTTTGGAGGTCACTACGCGCGTGATGGTAGTTTTGGAGCATCGCTTGGCTTGCTCACTATTGTAATCTGCTTGTTCGAGGTAAGGGTTTTGCCTAACTTTGTTGAGGGAATTTTTCCTCCTATTTGTCATTGTTTGCTACATGCGAGGGTGATACATATATGAGGTGACGAGCGTATATGTATGTGCTGGGGTTAATCATGCTCGGGGGTAGATTGTGTTATAATTGTGTCTTGTAGGATTACGTAAATTCCTTGCTTCATGCTTCACTTGATTTACCGATGTTAAGAACGTAGTATAAAATGTTAGTAATCAAGAATTATCCCAATATAACTTGATCGAATTTGGTAGAA